CGGTGGGGGCTGGTGCTGTGGTGCAGCGAGTTAAAGCCCTGGCCTGAAGCACCGGCATCCCATATGGGCGCCGGTTCTAGTCTCGGCTCCTCCTCTTCCAATCCAGCTCTCTGCTATGGCCTGGGAAAGCAGTAAAAGATGGCCCAAGTCCTTGGGCCCCTGCACCCAAATGGGAGACCTGGAAGAAGCTCCTGGCTCCTGGCTTCGGATCAGCACAGCTCTGGCCGTTGTGGCCATTTGGGGAGTGAACCAACGGATGGAAGACTTCTCTCTCTGTCTCTACCTCTCTCTGTAACTCTGTCTTTCAAATAAATAAAATAAATCTTTAAAAAAAAAAGTCATCTGGTGGTCTAACCCTAACATTTCACAATGTGGAAATTGAGGAACTAAGTGGTGAAAGGTCTTTGTCCAAGATCAAATAGTTAATGACAGAGTCAAGGCATGAACTCCTATCTAACTGACCACCCTGGTCTGGTTCTCTCTGGGTTAGGCCCTCAGCTTTGCTAAACCCCAAACTCCTCTGCCCACATCCATCTGCTTTGCCTGGATGTACTTCTTAAGTGCTCACATAGCTGCCCTTGGAGATGCAGAATTAAGTTCTACTGTACTGGGGGAAGCTTTCTTTTATCTCCCCCAACACACACACAATTTTACAAACAAGCAGGACCATTCAACCACTCCCTCTTTATTTTCCATTTCACAAATTTCCTCATAAGTGTGAATGATCAATCTCATTTGTGATTCCATCTTACTTTCATGGTGAATAAGATGTGCTTGCATTACTTGCGTTGTTGCAGGGCCTTTGACATACTCATTTGCCTGCTAGGATTCCAGAATGTTGGCTTTTGGAAGGCACAGGATGGTTTCTTAGTATGCTTCTATCAGCCAGTGCCAGCCCAGGAAGGCTCTTCTGTGCATGGTGATGAGTGCAAGATAAGGACAATCAATGTAGAAAGGCTGCATGTGCATACACATGTGCAGCAAATATGTTTGTGTAAGAAACGAAGAGAAAATGCTCTTCTTTAGTTCATTACCTCCCCAGGAAGACTAACTCATTTTTGGTTGGTTCTCTCATTGGTGGGGAATTCTTTCTCACACGCAACTGAAGATTGGCTTCCTCCAACACTTACCATTCATGCTATTCCTACCCTCTAGAGCAATGTAGTTCCTCTTTTCCATTGTTTCTTCAAATACTTAGAGGACTTACCACGTGGGAGAGTGGCTGTGTTGCTTTAATCAATTAGGACCATGAGTAATATCAGAGAGGGACAAGTGAAGATAAGAAATCCATGCATACAAGGATTCTTCAAAAGTTCATGGCAAATGGGTATCATGAAAAAGAGCAATGCATGGATTTTGCTTTTTTGCACCAAATGAACTTTAAATTCTATTTTTCCATGAACGTTTTGAAGTTACGCTGTATTTCTAGTTTCTCCTAGTGTGTTTCTCCCTCACTGCCTCCTAATAATAATATAAATAATGACCATGACCATAGTTAATATTCAATCCTCACATCCATTCTTAGAGGTAGGACTTTTATTAATCCCATTTAATAGATGAAAAATTGACAGAAGAGCTAAGTAACTTGTGAATGGTCAAGCCAGAATCAAATCTGTAGAGCTTCACTTCTAACCACTAGACTTTGAATCAACAATGCCAACACTAGACATCTTCTCTTACCTTTCTCTCTCTCTGTGTTTAATTTAATTTTTATTTTGTTTGAGAGAGGGATAGAGGGAAATCCTATCTACAGGTTCATTCTCTAGCTGCCTGGGGCTGAACCTGGGAGCTGGGAATTCAATCCACCCATGTGGGTGGCAGGGACCCAACCACTTGAGCAGTCACCTGCTGCCTCCCAAGGTGCACATTAGTAGGAAGCTGGAGTCAGGAATTACAGCTGGGAATCAAACCTAGGTGCTTTGATGTGGGACACAATGTCTTACCTAGAAGGCTAAATGCCCTCTCTTTCAACCTCTCTCTTCTACTCATGACTATCAGAATTCTTAAAATATGATCCCAGGACAGTGTATAGAACTAACACAGAATGATAGGTCCAGGACTCCCAATGGCTATTCATGACACCTAAGGTCACATTTAGTGATTTTGGCATCAACACCATACTCTAGGCTCATCTTGAACTTGCATTTAACTCAAATAACCCAGGTCCTTTCTTCTTTTCCAAACCAGATCACCCCATTTTGAGTTTTGATAATTGATTTTTTTTAATGTAAGAGCAGGATTTGGTGTATGTATTCTTGTCATTTTTTTTTCCCTGAAACAGATTCTATTTAAAAGTGGATTTACTTGTGGACAGATATAATTTGATGGTTTAAAGTAATGAAATTGTGGACAATTTTTCTTTATTTTCTTTTTCTTTCTTTTTTTCTTTTCTTTTTTTTTTTTTTTTTTTTTTTTTTTTTGACAGGCAGAGTGGACAGTGAGAGAGAGAGACAGAGAGAAAGGTCTTCCTTTGCCATTGGTTCACCCTCCAATGGCCGGCGCGGCCGGCGCTCTGCGGCCGGTGCACTGCACTGATCCGATGGCAGGAGCCAGGTACTTATCCTGGTCTCCCATGGGGTACAGGGCCCAAGCACTTGGGCCATCCTCCACTGCACTCCCTGGCCACAGCAGAGAGCTGGCCTGGAAGAGGGGCAACCGGGACAGAATCCGGCGCCCCAACCGGGACTAGAACCCGGTGTGCTGGCGCCGCAAGGCGGAGGATTAGCCTAGTGAGCCGCGGTGCTGGCTTCTTTATTTTCTAAATGATTTCATTTGTGGTTGTCATGATGTTTTATTCTACAAGAAATAAAATTGTTAAATGGAAAATGGACTTTTAAATTTTAGTCCCTCCTTTTTCTTGTTAAAACTTGACGAGATGCTTAAATCTGTCCAGCCCACCAGCCACCCTTCTTGGCTTTCCATCCTGTATGTCCATGTCTGCCATCCTTCTTTCAAGTCACTGGTGCCCATCTGAGGATGGACAGTCCCAGAAGGCAAGAATAGAGCATGCAGCTCCTTGAAATTTAATCCAGAGATTTTGTGCACTGAGTTCATATGGTGTTCACTAGTGATGTGCAAGTAGTTTAGAATGACACACGTTGGAGCCCCTTGTCCACCAAGGGCTGGTTCTGAGGTTCCCATTTTTTGGAATAAACAGAGTCTACTGTTCAACACTTTAAACAGATATTTACCGAGACCCCAACTCATGCTGGCCACTTTACTACATTCTGGGGGTATAAAGACGCACATGGGGTTGTCCTTGACCTCAACGATTCACAGTCCAGGGCTCTAGTCTTGTTCCTGATGTATATCCATGACTTATGGGCCTTGATCATGCAGATGTGGGTAGATAGCCCAGAGGACATTATAATCCAATAGAGGGACCATGTATGTCCAAGTGCACGACTCACTAGGTATACCCCGTACCTGAATCTTGCAGCTGAAACCCTGCCTTCTTCTTAGAAGCGTCTCTGGTCTTCATTATACCAAAGGGGTGGGAGTGGGGTACTACTTCATTCCATTTTCTTATAGAAAAAAACTATACTGGTTCTCTGAGCTCACTACCCAGCCTGATCTCTCTTGCCTGGTGCTCAAAGCCCTGGGTGCCATGCCGCATCCTGCTTACTGGGCACTGTTCTCTCCTCTAGCCTCCTTCAGGCAGACTCTCCTCCATGTCCTAGGGTCCCCTATGCCCTCCACCTCACTCTTGCTCAGGTGGGCTGCCTTTTCTTGGCGTGCCCTCCTCTCCCTTCTACCAGCTAAGTCTTGTCTGTTCAGTCCTCCAAGACTACCTCTCTCTGAAAATTCCCTTGAGTGCTTTAACTCTTGCCAACTTCATTTCTCTGTGGAGAGAAAGCGACCTTTCTACCACACAGTTAAACCCAACTTTATTTATAGTCTTGTCTTAGCTGATATTGTTTCCCATGAGTGATATTACTTCCCCAGTGAAGTGGTGGCAACACTTCTAAGACCCACAGATTTTATTCGTGCAACACCCAGTAGGCATAGCTCATGTAGCAAACATGTGATGAATATGTGCTGGATTTTTAAATTTTTTATTGTTTACATATTTGTTTGAAAGGCAGAGGGAGATAGAGAGACAGACACACACAGACAAACACACACACACACACAGACCGTACTATCCATTGGTTCATAGCCCAAGTGCCCTCAACAGCCAAGGCTGGCCCAGGCCAAAGCCAGGATTCAGGAACTGTCACCATATGGGTGACAGGAACTCAAATACTTAAGCCATCATCTGTTGCCTCCCAGGATGTGCTTTAGCAGGAAGCTGAATCAGAAGCAGAGTAGGCAGGATCCGAACCAAGCACTCATCCCTATCTGTGTCTTAACTGCTACCCCAAACATCTGCTCCTATGTTTTTTTTTTAAATTATTTTATCCCAGACAGAGAATTAAGACTGTCTGGCTGTTGATATCTCCAGTCCTGGGACCAGTTGGACTCTTCACCTTCACTGGAAAGTTCTAAGCTTCCGTAACACTTCCACATTCTCACCATAAACAATGGGGTCCGTTACGTTATTTGCTTGCTTTGTGCAGCCTTCTCTGGATTGCAAGCTTTCGCAGGGCCTCTCGGCTCTGTCCCCCTGCATGGGGCCTTCCATCAGGCAGAAGGCGTGAGTCATGATTAAATGATTACAGCTTTGGTCAGCTAGGGGTACTCAACAGCCAGGAACTATGTTTTTTTCCTCTTGGATTCCTATAGGGAAGGGCATGAAACTCATATTAAATGGGGGCACCAAGTGGGTGGAAGAGGGCGGGATCCCATATCCCTGTCCTGGCTAGCTCTCTAGACAATAATCCTCTCATTCCAGAAGCCCCTTTCTAGGAAACTTTCCCATCCTATGCTGTGGGTACAGGATGGCCAGCCCCGGCTTTGCTCTGAAGCCAAACCTGTCTAAGGGTCTACTCCATCTCTCCTGGCTGTCATCCTCAGCAAACTCTCACTCAGTCTATAAAGGTGTTTTCTTTTATTGACAGGTGAAATCTGGAGCAGGATTCTGAGACTTCCCATCCTCCATGCCGCTCACTGGAAAAGGGGCTGTGAACTGTAAGTAACTCTGATTGATGCTTTTTTCATGCTGACTCAATAAGGGAATGGGTTCAAGACCAGCCCTGAACCTGATCTCTAACAGTCATGCGTTGTGCAAGAGAAACTCTCACAAATGGACTAGTCAGAGTGTAAAATATAGTGGTGCTGTAATTAGATTATGTGTGATTGTGACATATATGACATCCTATTAATTAGACTGTATTGATTGTGCATTAAGGCGGTGTCCGCGTGTTACACGTGTCATGAGTACGGAAGAAGGATGTTTTTGAATTTGCAAGGCCAAGCCAGACAGTGAAAGAAGCAAGTGGCAGCATCAGCTTCCAAATGGGGCCAGGTTCATAGCCCACCCTTGCTTTTGCACCTGGTTATTTCTGGGAAGGCAGGGAGAATAAAGGGAACACTGTGGACCACCTCCCTTCCACAGCACCCCCTCATACTTCATGCTAACATAGTCGTGTTTGCTCTCCCCACTAAGTCCACCCACCTGTAGGGCCCCGTCTAAAACCAGCCTCCCCCGTGGAGCCTTCTTTGGTAATTACAGCAAGAAGTGGTTTCTCCCTCTTCTGAGAGTCTGCAGCATCTACCTGCTGCCCTCTCCTCTGGCCAGTATTATGCACTCTGCAGAGAGGCCATGAGCTCCTGGAGGGTGCAGTCTGGGGTTCCTGCTTCTTCCTCTTCCCACCGCACCCTCCACCTAGTCTCAGCGTGGTAAATATTAGCAGGAAGCCCGGGCTACCCTGCGCAGGCTTCTCCACCCTTCTGGGGTTACCCGAGGCTGGGCCGCTGCTGTGACTTTGATAGTACATTGGCTTCCAACCAGTCCATGGAATTATAAATGATTAACCGTTATCAGCGCACATCTTCACCTCTGTGTAAAAATAGATTGACTGTAATGAGTATTTGAATAAATCATAAGAATGGCCGCCTTGCGATCGTCTAACATCCTGCCGATGGCTGCCCGGTGAGTGAGCAGGGCGCCGGCCTCCCGCCTAATGGCCTGCGATTCAGTGCTGGTCGCCTGGGTGATTGACGGGCCTCAGCTCCCAGGGTACCTCCTCTGCAGCCTGGGCTCTGGAGTGGTCGGATCCCCAGGCCGAGGGGGCGGGGAAGGGTGCCTCCCTCCATCCTGTTCCAGGAAAGCCTGCCTAGGAGATGGGGCTGAGGCTGGTGGGGGGAACCACGCTAGAAGATAATGACCTTTGTGAGAATCGATGTCTCCTCGCACCGGAGATTAGAGGGACCTCATAAGTCAAGTCAAGGATGAGGAGCAAGCTGAGCGTGAACCTTTACGAGAGCTGACGGTGGAGGAGAAATAAGTCTGCACATGTCTCTCTGTCCTGGAGGGCAACCGGGCACCTGGACCCTGGGCTTCCCACTCCTAGGAAAGCTGCTCCCAGGGATGCACATCAGCTCTGCAGGGAAGAGCAACTTCCTTCAGGTCCCAGGACTCTGCATGGGAAGAGCCAGATGATCTTGCAGGGAGTGGCTTGCCAAGGCCACCTCAGGCCCGAGGATCCTGCCTTTTGGTGGGGGAGAAAGATGAGGAGCAGGAGGCAGTTCAGAGGGACAGAGCCAGTTGAGGAAGGAAGAGTGTGAAAGTCTAAAGTTTCAGAGACAGGGTCAGTGACGACTGGCTCTGAGTGGGAGATAGCATTTCAGTTTAATTTGAGTGGAGTCCCAGTTGCTAGGCCGTGTAACAAATCGTCCCAGAATACAGTGGCTTAATAACACTGATTCTGTGAGCTAGGCGCTCAGCTGGGGCATGACGGTACCAGGTCTGGTGTCTCAGCGAGGTCAGCTCGAAAGCTGCATCATCCATGGCTCATCCGCCCATTCTGCTGGGATGTGCTGGGAGCCGTTGGCTGATACCTTAGTGGGGACTGTTGGCCACACCCATGTGGCTTCTCCATGTGGCCTGATTCCAAGGGTGACATCCTGAGAGAGAGCAAAAGCCAGGTGGAAGCTGTGTCACCTTTTGTGACTGTCCCTCCAAAGTCCAGCTGCATTACCTCCACCACATTCTCTAACTGGGGCAGCTGCAAGGGTCCACCTCGGTTTCAGAGGGGAGCAGACACCCCCAGCTCTCCAGAAGGAGTAACAGCATCTCATTTAGAGAAGAGCCTGAGTTAGATATGGTTGTAGGCATCTTTGGAGACTACAGTCTAGCTTAGTGGGTATCCACCAAGTGTCTGCTAGCGTCTAGTCCAGCACAGCCTCATCTCTATCCCAGAAAGAATGAAATGGGCCCTTCCTGGGCATGCGGTACTCCTCCTAGAAAGATGAACTAGGTGACTTAAACTGTCCCTTGGCTTATAGAATGTCTGAGTTGGAAGGGCCCCTCTAGGCCAGCCTGGGCTTCCTTCTTGGGCAGGAAACAGAGATGCTGCAGCTAGTGAATCCTCAACCTCATAGTCCTTCTCAGCAGGAGTGGGTCCAGTTTGCAAGCCAAGCTTGAAGTGCCATCTTAGACCTGCGACCCGGGACTGCACAGGCCTTGGAACCTTCACTGGCATCCAGGCTCTCCACACCTGCAGAGCCCAAAGCTGGGCTAGGCTTCAGCCTAACATCAGGGTTTACGAAGCTACAGGGGCTGTTCTGGAGACTGGAGAACTCTGGGAATCTCTTGCTTCCTGGTCCTCTAGCCTCCTGCCTTCCCCTCTGCCTCACACCAGGATCTGGGCTCCCTATCATTGTCCAATTTCCTGATTCCAATGCAGTTACAACTGGAAAGAGAAACTGAGTGTCCTGCATGCCTTCTCATGACTTAAGGGCATAGAAACAAAACCCAAGTAACCAAAAGTGGAAACAGAACTGGCTTATCTTCCCCAAGGACTAAGACCTGAGAATGGCTGGGATGGTGGGGGGTATGCCGTAAAGAGAGGGGTATGTGGCCTTGGGCTTGATGGAAAGATGGTGGAGTTCGAAGGTAGGGTTTGGATTCTTCCATGTTGCTCACTATTCATACTAGTAATCTTTAGTACTAGTAACCAACACTAATCAGTAAGTGCTAGGCACTATGGAAACACTTGGGGTGCATTTTTTGTTGAGCCTTTAAACTGCTTTATGGGATCCTGTTACTACCTCTGTATTATGGAAAAGGAGAGGAGGTTAAGAAAACAAGAGAAATACCCTAGGAAGAATCGGAGTTGTCATTCATTCTGTATTCTGTGGACTTAAACCACTTCCCTGTGACTCCGTTTATTCCCCTGTGAAATGGAGATGTCTCATGACATCATGTCCAGCTCTAAGATTCTAGTAAGCTGCTTCTATCTGCTGTGGGCCCACTCTATGGAGGCTCTAGGAAAGTATGGAATGATTTCCCATTTTCTCACTCATGAAACTTTAGGTCAGGAAACGAATGTTTAGTTTGGGCAGGTGAAGGAAACAGACACAAGCTTGAAGATCACTTAGATTTCAAGCCACCTGCTTACGGGAGGACATGTTGGATTTGAAGTCTAAATCTTAGATCTGAATCCCAGCCTCACGACGTAACATCCTTGTGATCCTGGGCACATCTCTTTGGCCTTCGGATTCCTCATCTCTAGAGCGGCCATGGGCTTGTCTGTCCTTCCCAGAACTGTTGTGGGAACTCCAGCTCCTGACAGTACGGGCGCACAATAGGCACTCAGGGGTGCTGTCATTCATTCACCTAATGAACAAATACAAAGTGGAGTCGAACAGAAGAGTTACACCTTTCTGTTGTTGCTGACAGATGGTCAAGGAAGTCTTGCCTTTAACTGTGCTCTCCATAAAAGTTCACTCATAAACTATTAATATTTTAATAATATACATTAGCATCTTGCCCTTTGACAAATGAATATTGAATGAGCAATAAAGAGGCAAAAGAGTAACCAGGTGTACTGCCGCAGAGAGGCTGGAATCTGAGGGAGTTATCCAAGGGGATGCCCCCTTTCCAGAGGCCTGGGACTCACCCCTGTCCCCTGTGACCCCCAGGGAGCAGCTCTTAAACGGAGCTCAGAATCTGGCCAGCACAGCCCGGTCTGAACAGGATTTGCCCTCATTTTTTCTTTCCTTTGGCTGGAGGGGACCTAAGAGAAGAAAGAAAAGGTCATTAAAGAACAGCCAGAGGGGTGGTTTCACCCCCACGTGCCAAACCTTGGATCTCCCCATTACGTTTGCTAAAGGTGCAGGCACACGCTCTCTCCTGCTCTGTAAAACTCTGCAGACAGTGAGACTGTGTGCCCACAAGGAATCAGGCAAGGAGCTTAGAAAAAGCAGACTGGTTCCACCCACTCTCTCTCCTTGCTCAACCAGGTCCTGACTGACCGGGAGCGGGTGCTTGGGGTGTGTGTTAAGGTTTGTATGACAGAATCCCCCACCTCTTCCAGCTTCTGCCTCCAGGCCCACTGCCACGGCCCTCCGGTTTCTGTTGGCCTCCATCTGGGCTGGGAGTCCTTGAGCGCACAGGGAGCAGTGACAGGGATTCTTCGTGGGTCCGGCGTAATTGGTGTGATTTAATGGTGTTTCTGGCGGATTCAGATTTATACGGCTTTCTGAGCTGCAAATCTGCTTTCTAAATGTAGAGTTTTTGTGGAGTGGTAAAAAATAATGGCTGTTCTGTGATTCCTGCCTCCCGAGCTAGGAGATTGCAATTTACATTATGCAAATAGACATTATGCAATCAAGGCACTTTAGCAGGAATCTGGCTGCGGAGAGGAGAGGCCGCTGATGAGATGCCGAGGTCTGCAACCCCTAGTGGAGGGGCCCGGGAAGAGGGAGAGGAAGTGTAGAGGGAGTGGGGCTGGGGGCTGCTGGGAGACCAACAGGCTATCCCCTTGGTCGGAGGAGGCAAAGTGGGGCCTGCCTGAAGAGGAACCCATCCGGGGAGCTGCCAAAGCAACTCTCAATTAATGGCTTTGTTTAATCATACCCCCTGTCCAGAGGAGTATTGTCTTACGGATAATTTCGTTTGCCTAACGAGATTTTGCTAATTAAATCTCCTTTCAGTTGGTGTGACTATGCCTGCAGGAGAGGGG